CTGCTCCTCGTATCGTGCTGGAAACTCTGCAGCTGGTTAAACGGACTGCAGCGCGCTCAGTCAGCTTTTCAACACAAGTTTTAAACAAATGTAAATGAACACTGAATGTAAAGCATATAACTGTGTGTGCGAGTGCTTTTCTAACGAGTGCAGTTTGAAATATTCACGCACACACAGACAGTCCAGCCTTTAGAGAAGCAGCTCCGCTCTCAGTTTTACTGCCCATTAGATTTACCATCATTACTGCGTTAATGGGAGTGGAATGGAGAGACAGAGGAGGGCTGAAGCAGTCGAACATGAAATTGAAAACAGCAGGAGAGAAAGGACAGCGTGAGGCAGCGGGACGAGGGGGGGAGGGACGGAGGAAAGGTAACTATTTATACAGCACATTTCCCACAGAGTCGTTCAAAGAGTTTTACACTGAGGGGCGCGACAGGATTAACATGAGGAGCTGCTTTTTGTTTACTTCTGTTTAAAATCCAAAGCTGTCACGTTTCAGTCCATCTGCAGTTCACACTCAGACTGCACGATTGTTCAGATTGTTCTATTTTACGCCTTTAATTTGAGTTTTTTACCACAGAAATCAAAGCCACAAAAATAAGGCACACAATATCTATCAGATCAGCCTTCTGCAGCAGCGACCAACTTTCTAATTTATTCTAAAGAGCCACATTTATACAACACAAGCTGAAATCAGTCGTTTGAAGTGGACTGCACCTCTTACACCTGTGCGGTGAACACTGGTGCTCCTCAGGTGAGTCAAAATCTGGCAAATGGTCCAGGTGTGACTAAACACCTGGACCATTTGTGAGGCCAGGAATGATGACCTTGAACGTAACTTCAGCCAGGATTATTTTTTACAAACAGACGAGGAGGACGATACTTAATTAAAAAATAAGTCTGCTGATAGTCAAAGGAGCTTGCAAAGAAAAGCGTCTGGACTTCTTTAAGTTGCTTGAAGATGTTTCACCTTCATCTGAGAAGCTTCTTCAGTTCTAAGGTCAAATGGTGGAGAGTCCCAGATATAAACCTAGTGAGAGTTTCCCCCCAAAGAGGGACAAAAGGACCACCTGATGATCCTCTACCATCAGAGTGTGTGGGTTAGGGTGTGGGTCCCCGAAACTCTGGCTGATTGGGACCCACACCCGCTTTCACACCTTGGCTCAGGCGATTAGAGGATCTAGTCTGAGGGGAAACTCAGACTAGGTTTAAATCTGGGACTCCCCACCATTTGACCTTAGAACTGAAGAAGCTTCTTGGATGAAGGTGAAACGTCTTCAAGCAACTTAAAGAAGTCCAGACGCTTTTCTTTGCAAGCTCCTTTGACTACGATGACCTGGATGACTGAGAACCTTCACAGACAAGTCTGCTGATAGCTGCACAAGTTATTAAAAACACTTCACACACAGCAGCGTCACCTTTTGAAGACGGACTAGCGGATAAATATAGCAGCGGTGAAACATCAGAGACGTACAAATGTGTTTACAGAGACGTGGGAAAGTGAAAATCACTCAGACCAACGAGTTTCTCCGTCCTGACATCCGTCCAGCACGAACTTCTCTCCGTCGCGTTGCAGTGGAAACGGCTCGGCACGAGCGGCACGTGAAAGCGTTAAGCACGCCTGTTTTTTCCACCGCTTGTTCCCGTTTCCTCCAAACACAAAGAGTCCATGTAAACCTGAGCGCAGGTAAGTGAAGCGGCAGATTAAAGTGGTTCTAATTAAGTGTCACTGTCAGATAAACGACGTGCTGAGCTGGCTAACTTTCTGCTGACTGACGCACTTTAAGTAGCTCAGAGTTTGTATTAGCACTTTGCACCAGCGACTCTTCTCTCGGTTTCACCACTGAGACGAGGATTATTTCAGAGACATATTAAATAACTGTTTGTACCTCAGTCTGTTAAATGTTCCAAAACACTAAAAATGAAGATAATCAGCATTTTAAAGAAAATCTTTTTTTTTCTTGAACTACATCACACTCCTACCTGGTGCTCACTTTACAGATCATAAAGCAGAAAAAGACGCCCGGAGCCGTTTAGCAATGGTGATGTCATAAAGTTTGTGAGGACAGCATTTCCAGCTCCGTTGTTTACAAAACTGTAGCAGCAAACAGAGTATCCATAGATATCATATCCATTTCCAGCTCCATGTTTTTAGTCTTAGGCTCAACTAAAGTAACTTTTCATGACTCACAGTTAAAGACGAGATGACCATTTTAACGCTCAGCTCTCAGTGACACACCTCACACCTGTGAGCTTCGAGCACGGCTCCACAGAAGAAGACAGCTGAAATGTAGGACAGACTCTGGGTTGTTACAGGTGGCTTTGAACATTTCGTTTTTGGTAGCCGAGTCAGCTAACCCCGTCATCAATCATCAGCAGCTATTCGGTTTGTTTCCTATCATCACAATAAATCGTTTATAC